CAGACAGACAGACAGACAGACAGACAGACAGACAGACAGACAGACAGACAGACAGGGAAATAGAGAGTTAGACAGCTGGACTGAAGTAAGCACTTAAGCACACGACAGACACGGGCAACAAATAATCTACATAGACATGCAGACCGGTACACAGACACAGAGACGGGGGCTGAGAGGAGCCATCTCAAGGGCCGTACACGGCTGTCAGAACGTGGTGCTGGAAAACCAGGAGTGGCTCACTTACAAAACGAAACAATTTAGCACCGGAAGTGAATAGTGTTCCCTACTCCGAGTCCCCTCTCCGGTTTAGCCTTTAGCTCCACAAATGCTGTCTATTTGGGCAACCTGCCCCCCCCCACAAACACCCTTCAAAATGCCCAAACCTTCTATCTATCTGTCTCTGGGTATGTTTCTGATTTTTCTGATCCTATTTCTCTTACCCTGTCTTTGCGTCTGCCTTTTCCATTCACGCCTGTCTCTCTCTGTCTCACTGCCCCTGTCTGTCTGTCTGTCTGTCTATCTGCCTGCCTGTCTGTCTCTCTGCTCGTCTGTCTGTCTATCTGCCTGCCTGTCTGTCTCTGCTCGTCTGTCTGTCTGTCTTTTTCGCCATTCATTACATCTCTCGCTGTGTGCCTCTGTCTTCATTTTTCTCTCCGCACGTGTCTGTGTTTGTCTTTCTATCTCTTTCTCTCTTTTCTCTGTCTCTCTGTCCCACTGTCTCTCTGCCTCCCCTTCTCTTTCTACCCCTTTCTCAAGGCGAGCCAGACACGGAGCAGAAAAACAGGCAATAATAGACGAAGCAACCGTAACATTCCTCGCTTTCATCCGTAATAGCCGTTACCCGCCCTCAAAGAAAGAACTTAAACCCCCCTATTTAATGACAAACAGTGTCTTTCGACAGGGTCTTGCGGCCAGGTCGCTAATCTTCAGCGTTCGCCAGACCCACGATGGAAAAAGCAGGAAGATAAATACGAATGAAATAGCAAACACGTGTGCAACTGTCTGACTTGTAATGGATTCATCCATCTTTCAATTTACGACAGAGACAGGGTAATGCGAGGACCATAGAAATGCTGGGTTAGCGTGTGAGTATGAGTGTATTTCGGAAAAGGGATTGGGGGGGG